ACAACTGGTGCACACATAGGAGCTTATTATTACCATGGGTCCTTGGTATCCGCTGGGATTTGGTTCCAGGACCCCCCACGGATACCAAAATCCATGGATGCTCAAGTCCCATTAAATACAATGGGATAGTAAAATGTCCCTTTGGTCAATCCCAAATAGTGTAGACCAGCACAGAGATCTTGTAGCACCTTTGAGAGTAACTGAAAGAAAGAAGTGGGCAGCATGAACTTTCGTAGATTTCAGTCTACTTCCTCAGATGCATTTAGTAGACTGAAGGCTATGAAAGCTCGTGCTGCTAACTACTTTCTTTCAGTCAGTCTCAAAAGTGCTACAAGATCTCTCTACATACTGATTCTACAGACTGATACAGCTATATCTTTAATAAAATAGCAAAATCCAGATTTGCTTCTTTGGAATCCATTTGCCATGAAGTTGGGGTGTAAATCTATACATATACTGAATATTTTCAAGTCGTGGATGCTGGATTAAAAGTCCATGGCTACAGAGGGCTGACTACACACAGTGGAAAGAGACTCCTTTCACAACCACCTTTCAGGATGAATAATCGTTTCCCTTGGAGCATCAATCCCCGCCAGGCCATCTGCTCTCTGGAAACTTGACTGCAAATGCCGGTCAGACGGCAGCCTTTTGCAACTAGCCAATGCAATCCTGGCCTCTTTCTCCATCCCTAGCACTTCACTGGTTGCTAAAGATACACTCAGAAACCCACGGTGAACTTGATCAAACCTTTGCACAATGAGGCTGACAGGCAAAGAATGAAAAGTGGGGGAAGGAGGTCTTTGGAGAGCCGGGCTAAGCTCTGTGAAATGTTTTATGGAGAAGGCAGGGAGGAGGTGGGGAGAGACCGAGGAAAGAGAGAAAGAGAGAGAAAGGGTCCTTTCAGCCCATTCCAAAAGCATGCCTGCTCACAAGCTGTCAAGGTAGTCCACAGGCCATGAAGATGATGGATCTCCTCTGAGGCCAAAGATCAAGACCAAGGAGCAGAGCTGAACTTTCCAAGGTGTCATTAGGGAGCAAATTGAAAGAACAGAAAGAATACAACGCCTGGGTGGAAAAATGCAGGACCATGGCATTCACCATCCTTTGAATGGGATGTCATTTTTTGCAGGTGAGGTGGGTCCCAATTTCTAGGGGTCCCAACGAGTCCATAACTAGCCAAAAAAGTTTTGACATAGATGCAGAAGGGATTTGGTGAGGTTGAGGTTTTGTTCATTTGCCATGGAGAGAGGGATATAAATCTTTCTCTGTTTCTTGCTTCCAGGCAAGAAGGAATCATTTTCAAAAGCATTCTGCCTTGTGGGAGGCATTGGAGAGAAAATTCTGTGAATTTTTGGATGCACTTTTTTGCCCTTAGGGAGACTTACTTCTTTGCATTGAAAATGGTTTTGTGTACAATTGTGCAGAGGAAATGCTTCCTGCAAAAATTTAGGCACAAAAAGGAAGGCATTTGTACATCTCTTTAAAATAAAAATAAAAACAAAGCCAAATGGCAATAAACAAATAAATAAAGCATTTTCTTGACTATGTCTTGAGACATCCTTTCTTACTAAGAATGAGAAAATCTGCAAATATTGTACTCTTTACATGTCTGCTATATGCAAAATCTGGGATCTGTTAACATGCATATGTGTGTGTGTTAACAATGAACTCCAGTGTTAAGCTTCAGTATGCACTTTTGTGAAGCAAAAAAGGCTTTCTTGGTAAGATTTGTTCAGAGTGGGCTTGCCTTCGCCTTTGCCTTCCTCTGAGGCTGAGAGAGTGTGACATGCCAAAGGTCACCTAGTGGGTTTCCACTGTTGAGCGGTGAGTCAAACCTTGGTCTCCAGAATCCAATGCTCAAACCATTGTACCATGCTGTCTCTCACTAACAACTGGAGCAGGGCATGCAATTTAGGCTGCATCTGCACTGCAGAAATAATCCAGTTTGACACCACTTTAATTGCCATGGCTGAGTGCTATGGAGTTTGGGGAATTGTAGTTTGGTGAGACATTTAACCTTCTCTGTCAGAGAAGGGTGCCATAACAAATGACAGTTCCCAGAATCCCACAGCATTCCACCATGGCAGCTAAAGTGGGGTCAAAGTGGATTATTTCTGCAGTGTAGATGTAGTCTTAGTTTGTTAAACTGTCCTGAGTGGAAAGGGTTAGGTGCCTTCCTCTGCCACAAGCATTTGCAGCTCCATCCCTTTGCAATTTTGCCACTCTATCACACTTTTCTTATGTGTGATTTGATTCTGACAATAATTCTGAGAAAACCTCAAACTGGGATTTTGACAAACCTCCACCTAATAATAATAATAATAATAATAATAATAATAATAATTTTGCCACTAATCTAAGATTTTCCTACTATGTACCCTCTCCACCAGAAAAATCACAATCATTTAGAAAACAATTATCACTTGGGAATGATGACTATTTCTTTTTCATTCTTTTATTTTCCCTCCCCACTTTCAAATAAATCCACAAAAAAATAACAAGGAAATCCTTGAGATGCAATTCATTCTTTTTATTACTATATGATGGATTTTAATCCAAATGAAAAAAAAAATTGGAGGGGGGGGG